AGCAGGAAGTTTGTCTTCTCTAATTTCCTGTAGCAGCTCATACAATACGATGCAACAGTATAGTTCTTATGAGCCATGCTGTCCGGGTTTGATTCCTGCTTTACCACTTATAAACTATGTGACTTTGAGCAAATTACTTATTCTTTTAGTATTCAAGATTTTTATCTATAACATGGGGTTGATAGAGTAGCTACATCATTCTTATGAAGATTAATATTTGTAAAGCTCATAGAACTCACATTTTCCTCCTACTAAATTGTAAGGTCCTTAAGACTAGGAACCGATTCTTTGTATTGCTTAAGATACCCAGCATAGTCCATAGATATCATAGTTCATAATTTTATTTTGAAGGAATTTTTTGAATTATGGGATATACTCTGCATTTGCAGGTTAGCCATTTAGGATAAGAATCCTATTGAGAATCACTGTCTATACATACTTTCTTCCCTACAGTGATATTCAGACCCAGTTAGGACCAAATGCCAGACAGCTGCATGGTCCTGAACCTTGATAATTTTAGGCAGGAAGACTTGGGTGGGGATGTGGGATAGAAAGAGTTAGAGATCTACAAGTGAAAGTGGGAGAAAGTAGTCAACAGACAATGAAACAGTTCTGTTGTAGATGTTAGCATATTATTTAGGCCAAAAAAACTCTTAATGGGAGTTATAAATATCCCTGGAGCAGTCGAAGCTAATCACCACCCAAGCAGTGTCATTTGTTTTCTTTGAGCAACACTAAACCATGGAGCTTCTATGACTAGAGTTCTGTTGAGTGGGAAGAAGAAGAGTAAACAGAGCAATTTGGATGATTAGGAAAGAATACACCTTAATTGGCTGAGGGGCTAAAGAAGAAAAAAAATAGAGTACATTTTTACTCTCAGGCACTCACTGGCATTGCCTTATTTTACCTTTCCCTTCTAAATTTTTTATTATCGGTCTTGGGGAATTCCTGAACTGTGAGGGAATCTCTCAAGCTGGAATGGCAAATATTGATTTCATCCTATATGCCTCCTGATGTGTGATAACTGAGAAGGAATTCAATGGGAAAGCATGCTTTGGTCAATCATCAGTGCCTCCCTTAAATCCTAAGGAGAGGATTGCCAAGAGAGTCCATCCCCTGCATTGCCTCCTACACTTGAGACTGAACAAAAGACGAATGGATTATATGGGTAGTAGTTATGTGATTGATGCTATGCTGTTTAATTATATAGGAAAATACTTGTAATTGACATTTTTGCCTGATAGCCTTTAAATGTCAAACTCAAATGACCTCTGGTTCTATATCCACTTAGCTTGACTTTAATGGAAGATTTTTGTAATATGGCCCTTGTTGCAGCTCTGTTTTGCCCTTTAAATGAGATTTATGCTTGTGCCTTAGCTTCTCTTTAGTACACACCTAGTTTCTTATATTTACTTTTTTTCCTGTTAATTGACTTTTAGAACAATTTTGGGTTCACAGCAAAATGGAGGAGAAGCACAGATATTTCCCATATGCCCTCTGCCCCTACATAAATCATACCTTCCCCCATTATCAGCAACCTCCACCAAAATGGTATACTTATTACATGTGATGAGCCTACATGGACACATCATTATCACTCAAATAATATGCATTTAAGTTTTCTGCATGTCTTTTCATAACTTGATGGTTCATTTCTTTTTAGTGCTGAAAAATATTCCATTGTCTGAATATACAACAGTTTATCCATTCTCCTACTGAAGGACATCTTGGTTGCTTCCAAGTTTTGGCAGTTATGGATAGAGCTGCTATAAACATCCATGTTCAAGTTTTGTGTGGACATAAGTTTTCAGCTCCTTTGTGTAAATACAAAGGAGCATGATTTCTAGACTATATGGTAAGAGTATGTTTAGTTTTATAAGAAATCACCAAACTGTCTTCCAAAATGGCTGTACTTTTTTGCATTTCTACCAGCAATAAATGTGAGTTCATCCTCACAAGCATTTGATGTTAGTGTTCTGGATTTGGGCTATTCTAATGGGTAGTGGGATCTCATATTTGTTTTAATTTTCATTTCTCTGATGGCATATCAGGTGGAACATCTTTTCATATGATTATTTGCCATCCGTATATATTTTTTATCTTTTTCTTATATATCTTTTTTTTAAAAAAAGCCCACAGCACCTGGTCTTCCTAGGTGGTCTCCCATCCAAGTACTATCCAGGCCCGGCCCTGCTTCGCCTCTGAGATCAGTGAGATCAGGCATGTTCAGGGTGGCATGGCCGTAGGTATATATCTTCTTTTGTGAGGTATCTGTTAAGGTCTTTGGCCCATTTTTTATTTGAGCTGTTTGCTTTCTTACTGTTATAAGAGCTTTTTGATATTTGAATAACAATTCTTTATCAGATACATCTTTTGCAAATATTTTCTCTTAGGGTGTGACTTGTCTTTTTATTCTTGTGACAGTATTTTTCTCAGCAGAAATTTTTAATTTTAATGAAGTCTGACTTACTAGTGCTTTCATGGATTGTGCCTTTGGTGTCGTAGCTAAAAAGTCACCTAGGTTTTCTCCTATGTATTCTTCTAGTAGTTTTGTAATTTTGCATTTTATATTTAGGTCTGTGATTCATTTTGAGTTAATTTTTGTAAAGGATGTAAGGTATGTGTCCAGATTCATTTTCTTGCACATAGATATCCAGTTGTTCCAGCACCATTTGTTGAAAGTCTGTCTTCTTTCCATTGTGTTGCTTTTACTTTTTTATCAAAGATCGGTGGACTTTATTCATGTGGGTCTATTTCTAGGGCTCTCTGTTCTGTTCCAATTATCCATTTGTTCTTTCTCCACTACCACACTATCTTGATTAATGTAGCTTTAAAGTACGTCTTGGAAGTCAAGTATTGTCAGTTCTCCACCTTCGTTCTCCTTCAATATTGTTAGCTATTCTATTCTGGGTCTTTGCCTCTCCATTAAAACTTTAGAATCAACTTGTTGATATCCACAAAATAATTTGCTGAGATTATGGTTGAATTGCATTGAATCTATAGATCAAGTTGAGAAGAACTGACATCTTGACAATATTGAGTCTTTCTTTGATGAACATGGAACATCACTTCATTTATTTAGTTCTTTGTATTTTTACTTTAATGTTTTGTAGTCTTTTAGAAGGCACTTTTTCTGAGTCACTTTGGAAGTATTTTACAGTTTTCCTGTCATCTTGGATTCATTTGTTATTGTTCCTTTTTATATTTGGGTTTCTAAGATCTTTTTCCCCTTTTTAATATCCATGATGCCCAGCCAAATATGATTTCTGGTATTGCTAGCAAAATTATTCCTAGAGTTAACTTAAATCACTTGGTCCACATAGTTCACATCCATACTACAATACAACTGCTTTCTCTGAAGTTAGGACAAAAAGTCTTATTAACCATATAAAGGAAATATAAGAGAATTATAGTACATAATCTGTGCTTCCAAGGAGCTTGTACTCTAGTTACAAAACCAAAGTTAAACATGTGAAAAGTGGGACATTTAAAATGGTAATAATTCTACTGTTATGTCATAGAAGAGTACATGATTGTACTCCTGTGATTGGCTCAGAAATGTCTCTCATGCACATTACTTGATTAAAAAACAAAGGAGAGGAAAAAAAAATGATTGTACTCTTCTATGACATAATAGTAGAATATAAATTGTACAGACGATGATTTTGGAATTTAGGGAGTGATTTACATTAACAGGTTAGGGAAAACTTTATTGGGTTCATGGAATTTGAACTTAATTCTGAAATATGAGTAAATTTTAGATAAGAGATATTAATCCAGATTTCTTGTAGATGAGTTTCACAATACTTTGTCTCTTAATTTTTTCTTAAAAAAATCTTTTTATGAACTATTTCCTTTTAGTTCTATTTTCTATCTAATGTATTTATAATAAAACACTTGAAAGTGTGACATATTAGTTGCCTTCAATTTTCCATTTCTGTATTTTTGTCACAGGCATCCTAATTTTCAGCTGCTACAAGAAGGACAAAGGTATGGTTGAATCAGTATCATTTACCTTCTGTATATTCATATTAATAGAAACATTAAGGGTAAACCAAGTGATATGGGCTCTTGGACTCCCTGTGCTGATGCATTATGTAAGTGCCCATTCTAGCCCACACAAAGAAATATTTGCCTTGTACAGCTTTTTCTTTTGTGATAGTAAGATGACGTGTTTAATCTGTATGCTTTATCGTACAGCTGTTTCTACCAAGGAAGTCTAATTGAACCTGTTGAAATATGACACAAACAAAGCTTCCATCTGATATTATGATGCTTACTCAAATAAAGTGTGCCAATTACATTTGTTGAAAGGTTTTTATAGTCTTGTTTTATAGGATTTCAAAACAATATATCAATTATATAATTATTTGAAAGAGTATGTAAGCATTAATAGAAATTCCAAGTTGTGATTTTTTTTCTAAACTCTCCTCATGCTGTTGCTTGCCCAACCATAATCATCTCTCAGAACACATCCTTTTATATCCCAGAATAAATTTTCCTGGTTATTAGTTACTACTTTAGCTATGTGGACTTTAGCACAAGTGAGAGATATTTATTTATTGATGTATATATCTAATTTAATTTTCAAAGTAGTATAGAAAAATATAATTACCTTTAAATTCCAAGAGAAAGTATGAAATACATAAAAGTTTAATTGTTCTAATTTTTTTGAAATTGTACTCATATGATACAGGTCTCATGACTACAAAGGCTAGATTCTAACTAAAAACTGATACCTAATACTGAATATACATTGTCATCTTTTCTCCGTTCTAATCTACAGCCTCACTTTCAACTCTTTTTCTTCTTTTACACATGCCCCCCCATCATGCTTTTTTTTTTATTGCTGCATTATTTTATTTTGTTTTATTTTTAAAAAATATTTCTAAAAGTTTAATAGCCTTTTGGGGGAGCAGTTTTAGGTTTACAGAAAAATTACTTGAAAAGTAAAGAGTTCCCCTACAACCTGTCACCACCCTCTTTGTGCTTCTTGACCCAGAATCCTTCTCATCCAAACCCTTTAAAGTTCTATACGTGCATTTGCTTGACAGTAATTGCTCACGTGTCCTTCTTTATCTCAAGTTCTTATAAACAAAGCTACTCTTTGCTTTCACTTTTTCGTAATTCTTAATTCTTTTAAAAACCTAATCTGAAAATTGAAGAACTATAGTCAAATGGAAAACTGATATCTTTTATTGTTAGCATTATATTGTAACTCTGGATTTTCAAAAGAAATATCTTTCATCGATAAATTTTATTTTTCAAATTTATTTTCTTTTGTGCCATTTTTATAGTTTTTATTTTATGGAATGTTCTGTATAACTATCAACAAGCATTGGAAAATGTTTAGACATCTCTTACCTGTCAAAGCCTAAACAGAGTTCCTATTTTGTGTGTGTCCTATTATAAATATTTATTTATTTAAATTGAAAACCGCTAGTGAAGTTTTCAAAAGAAAACCCTTTTTTAAAAAAGGATAGATAAAACAGTTATAGAAATGGAGCAGCCCAAAATCAAAATAATTTAGTAGGATGGAATTATCAAGTGTGTGTTTTTCTTTTTAGTGTACTCTTTTAATACTTTTTAAACATTGGGGGAAAGACAAGGAAAGAAGAGCAGTATATCAAATAAGGTGTAGAGAAATGATGGAATTGTAACTTTCTTCTGAAGTGTGTGTGTGCAAACTTATATAAATATAAGCCTATAAATAAGGTTTTGCCTAGGGAATAAAAATTTCTTTCTCAGAAGATACAAAGTATAAATACTGTGGAACAATCTGCATTTCCATTATGGTCATTTTGTTTCTTTCCTTCTACAGTGGCCATTCTGGAGAAGAAGTACAGTTATGCAGTAAGGCCATTAAAACATCAGATATTGACAGTCCTGGAGATTTTGAGAAGCAGTATGAATCTAGTTCTTCTAGCACTCATAGTGACAGTAGCAGTGATAATGAGCAAGACTTTGTTTCCTCCATTCTATCAGGAAACAGACCAAATGCAACAGATATAAGGCCACAGCTGCACAAAAAAAGCATAATGAAAAAGAAAATTGGTCAAAAAGCTAACTTCAAGCAAGAAGACAAACAGCAGACAGTAATAGATGTCACTGAGCAGTTAGGCAATTGCAGATTAGATAATCAGAAGAAAGCTGCTGCTTGTGAACTTCCTCTACAGAAACTAAATACTCAGATTTTTTCAAATAGTCCTTTACAAGAAAAATTAAAAGCTTCAGAAATTGCTGAAAATAAATACAGTTCAGAAATAACTCTATTAGGCATAAGTAAGAAAAGTGCTGAGCATTTTAAGAGGAAATTTGCCAAATCAAACCAAGTTTCTAGGTCAGCTTCTAGTTCAGCGCAGGTGTGTCCTGAAGTTGCAAAGGCAAACTTACTTAAAGTTCTGAAGGAGACTTTGATTGAGTGGAAAACAGAAGAAACTTTGAGGTTTTTGTATGGCCAGAATTATGCTTCTGTGTGTCTGAAACCCTCTTCAGCCTCTCTGATTAAAGAAGAACTTGATGAAGATGACATAAACTCTGACCCAGGTAGTCATTCCCCTGCCTTGCAGAAATTTCAGGACAGCTTGGATGAGTCTTTGCCTTTTAGGGCCTCTGATACTGCCATTAAACCACTACCAAGTTATGAGAACTTGAAAAAAGAAACTGAAACATTAAACTTGAGGATCAGGGAGTTTTATAGAGGACGATACATTTTAAATGAAGAAACCACCACATCACAAGACTCAGAAGAGGTATGTCTTCATGAGAATAAGTTTTCCATGCTGCTAACATACGGAACACTCACCATAGCAAATCTTGGAGCAGGAAGAATACTGAAAAGATAATTGTTAAAATTTTAGAAAGCTACTTTAGTAAGTCCTTTGGTTTAAAATGCCATCTCCAACACTGGCATTACTATTTTACAAATAAGTTGAAGTTTGCCCCTGAAAATTTTCATTAAACTTTCAACATTTTTCTCTAATGTAGAAATAGCCTAAAATTGTAGAACATAGTTTTCATTAAACCTAGTCCTTCATATAATATGTAGAACTTCTGAAGAGACTTTGTTTTTTCTTTATTGGTATGTATTCTTTCAGATTTCTACATTCTTTCAGATTTCTACATGGAGTGTGTATCTTTGTGTTTTATTTCCAGTAGGACTCTATGCAGTGGAATGGACTTACTAGTTGAATGGTAAAATATTTGGATTGTATTTGGCAAACATGCCCATTTAAAATATTATAAATGAAAATAATACAGTAAAGGAGACTTATTGGGAAATGATGGACATAGGAGAAAATGGAAAGAGCATGTTGAGCTAGATCTAGATTTCAGTATCTGCTCCCATTTACTAAGCTGTATGAAAAGGTAGTTTCTTAAGTCTGTTTGCTCATCTGTAAGTTAGAATATAAATAGCTTCCCTTGTTCAGTTGTTAGGAATTTTAAAGATAATGTATATAAAGCATTTGTCACATTGCTTGACATATAATTGGTAGTCAGTAAATAGTATTTATATTTAGAGAGTGAATGTATACCACTGAGATTTAGGGAGATTTTTCAGCATCTCTATTTCTCATTTTTGCTTGATGTGTAGTTTGGGAAATGAAGTCATTTGGCATGAAGAGGAGTAGGCGATAGCCTTGTTTTTACCACAAAACTTAGTTACTAAAGATTTCCTGAGTAAATGTGGCTTTAAATTTAAGAACAGATTTAGACTTAAAGGGTAAAAGTGAACATATGGTAAAAAGTTAGACATTTCTTATATTTCCACAGAATGTTACCTAGCCCAGTACTATATTTGAAATCACTTCAACTGTATTTATATTGTTTGGAGGAACATTGATCTGTCAGTCAGCTGCATAAACCTACCTTGATTTATCATTTTTGCACTTATAAACTGTGACGAGGAAAAATTAATACCTGAGATTTGACTGTTCCTCTTTGAATAACATTTTAAAACTTTGTCATTGAAGTGTAATGCAAATAGTGTATAACTCACCGAATTACCACAAATGAACACTACCTAGGCCAAGAAATTTGAGTAAACCAGAGCCCTACTATGCCTCCTCCTAGTCATTACCTCTTTCCAAAATGAATGGCAATTATAATGGCATAGGTAAGTTTTGTTAATTTTGAACTGTATGTAAATGGATTCACACAGTATATATTTTCTTCGGTGTCCAATTTCATGCATCATTATGTTCGTGAATCATTTATATTGTTGCATGTAGTTTTAGTTTATTCTTTTATTGCTGCATTGTATTCCATTATAGAAATGTACCACAATTTATATTAATGAGCATTTAGGCTGTTTCAGTTTAGCGCTATTATAAACTATGCTATTGTTAACTTTTATATGTTTTTTTTCTAATGTGCACGCATTTCTGTTAGGTATATATCTAGGACTGGAATTTCTGGGTCGTAATGTATACAACTATACTAGATAATATACTAGATAATGCCAAGTAGTTTTCCAAATTGGTTGCGCCAGTGTATATTCCACTACCACTGTATGAGAGTTTCCATGACTCCACATTCTCACCAGTACTTGATATTGTTACTTTTCACCATTCTAGTGGTATTGTTATTTTGGCTATAATACATTTCTCTGATGATTAATGAACACTTTATTTGCTTATTGACTATTTGTATAGTCTCTCGTGAAGTCCCTGTTTGAGGCTTTTTTCCAATTTACCTACTTGGAATATATAGGTATTTTTTTTCTTATTGATCTGTAGGACTTCTTTATGTAATCAGGATTCAAGTCCATTTTTAGTTAGGTGTATTGCAAATGCCATCTTTCACTCTGAGACTTGCCCTTACATTCTCATTAATGGCATCTTGAGTCTAGTTTATTAATTGTTCCCTTTAGTGACTTCTTTAAGAAATCTTTGCTTAGCCCAGGTTGTTTAATCTTTTAGAAGCTTCATTGTTTTTCCTTTCACATTTAGATCTGCAGTTCATCTGGGATTGATTTTTGTTTATGGTGAGGAGCATAGATCAGATTTCACATTTTTTCTTTGGGGAAATGTATGCACATTAAAGTTTGAGAAGCACTATTGATTTTTTGTTTGATAGCTCATCCCATCAGTTAGGTGGAAGAGGTAGGTCAGAATCTCTCACCATAATTATGGGTTTATTATTTCTCCTTTTAGTTTTATGATTTTTTAATATTTTGAGACCATGTTATTGGATACAAATGTAAGATTGTAAGTCTTCCTAGAAAATTGAACCTTTAGCATTATGGAGTAACCTTTCTCTACACTGATTTTTTTTTTCTTAGAGTTGGCTTTGCTGACCCTAGCATTCTTTTAGTATTTTCAAGGACTATCTTTTTTAAAAATCTAGGCTGATAATCTTTATCCTTTATGTGGAGAATTTAGTCCATTTACATTTAATATCGTAATTGACATATTTGGGTTTAAATCTACCATCTCACTCATTGCTTATTGCATGTTTTGCCTGTTTTGTGTTCCTCTTTCTTTGTATTAAACATCATTATTGACTTTTTACCTTCTCTTAGCTTATTTTTAATACATTCTTTTGCTGATTGTTAAGTGATTACCCTAAGGATTAAAACCTGAATCTTGGTTTTATTAAAGTCCAATGTAAGTTAATACTTTTATTGCTTCCATGACAATAAAAACGTAGAAACTTTAACTCCATATACCCCTCTTATGTGCTCTTGTTGTGTACTTGTGTTCTCTCTACATTTTAAATCTTAGAAGATAATTTATGGTCAATATTCATTTGGATTTGTCCAATTAAATTACTCCTTCATTGTTTTTCCATTCTTCCACCTGGGATCATTTACCTTGGGCCTGAAGAATATCCTTTGTTTCTGTTAGTACCATTTCACTGATGATGAATTTTCTGTTTTTGTTTGTAACAAAAATTTTTATGTGACTTTACTTTTAAAAAATATTTTCCTGAGTATCAAATTCTAGATTAGCAGTTATTTTCTTCAGCCCATTGAAAATATTTCTTTGTCTTTTGTCTTCCATTTGTTTTTCTTATTGCTGTTGCTTTGAAAATATTGTGTTCTTTCTTTAGCACTTTTGAGACCTTTTTTTTTTTTTTGATTGCCATCAATTTTAGAATGCTTTGCGTAGGTGTGACTATGTTCTTTTGGCTGTTGTAATGAATCTGTGACTTCCTTCATCAGTTTTGGAATATTCTCAGTTATTATCTGTACAGATATTCTGTTTCATTCTCCTTTTCCTGTCTATCCAGGACTCCAGTTATGTTAGTCTTTTTCACTGTATCTTGTCTCATATTCTTTTGTGCTTTGTACTGTTTGTGCGGAGGGTATGGGCAAATTGTTGGGTGTGACTGTGATTTTTGGATATTTTCTAAGCATTCTCTCTTCAGTTATTTCTACTGTATTATATCTATCCATTGAGTTCTTTTAAGTGTTATATTTTTCAGTTTTAGGATTTTCATTTGGTTCTTTTATATAGTTTCCAATTCTCTGCTGAAATTTTCAATCTTGTCATTTTTCTTTGAATATATTCAACAGATTTATTTTAAATAAAGCTGATAAAGCTTCATTATCTGGATTTCTTAGGGGTTGATTTTTACAGGCTCACATTGCAGATTTTGATCATATTATTTTCTTATCGTTTTATTATGTGGCAGACATTATATATTAAAAATTATAGAGATAACTTGAGACCTAGATTGATGTTTATCTTCCTTTCAAATGGATTTGTTTGCTTCTGGTCAATGATTTGTAGCAGTCCCGAATCACTTTAATCCAGTCAGAAATTAAGATGATTTGAAGCTGGGCTTCGCTCCCTGTAAAGGCTAGTCTGTTTCCTAATCCTTCTTACTCCTAAAGTGTGATCCTGGTCTCAAGCTTGGGGAGGGTTGCTAGTGCCTCTTCCTTTTTGGCATGCCACAAACTCTTATATTTATTAGAAAAGCAATACTCAGATTCTCAGTATCTACATTGCCTCGTCCGAAATTAGTCAGTGTCCTCTCTGGAACTATCTTCTCCAAAATATAAGGCCATAATTCTCTACTGCTTTGTTAGCCCTCTGATGCTTTCAAGCAAATGTGGGTTTTTTCCCAGCTTTTTCATTTCTCAGCAGGAGGGAGGGGGGTTTGAATTATCCTGTCTGCCATTTCTAGAAGAGGAATTCTCCATTATATATTTATGGTATTTGCTAATTGTAATCTTTTAATCTCCTACATTTACATGGCATTTAGCAGTTAACAAAGTCCTTTTGTATATATTTTCTCATTTAATAAAGAAGGTATTAATATCCATTTTATTCAGATGGGAAAACATTCACAAAATAGGACAAATGACTCTAGCAAGTTAACATCAGCCTAATGACTGAATTGATACTAAAATTTAAATCTTCTCATTCTCAAGACTAGTTTTTATTCTACCGTATCACAGGTATAAACTTTTGTGTTTTAATGTTATTATTATCAAAGGAAGAATGTAAATTCATGATTTTGTTTTGCTTTGTTTAAAAATGTGATTCAGCATGATCCCGCCTTTCCACTGATAGATTCAAGTTCTCAGAACCAGATTAGGAAACGCATCGTACTTGAAAAATTGAGTAAAATGTAAGTATGTAATTGTCATTCTACTTTTACATATTTTAAAATTAACTTGGTATTTGTGGGTTCATAATTTATAGGTGTTATCCTTGAATTTTGAACAGTTTGAAAAATAATGTGAAAAGTTTACATGAATTTCTTCACCTGAGAAATTTAGATTTTTAATTTTTTGTGTCAAGACACGGAGGCACAAAATAAAAAGGAAGATTGAGATTATGGGGGTAGAAAACCAAGCTACCTAACTTCCACTTAATAATCCAATGCAGTCAGGGAAAAAATACCAAAGGTAGACCTATTTAAATACTGATTTGTGGTAAATGTGTCACATCAGTTTCACATGTGAATAAGACTTCATAAAGTTTTAACGGTCTATTAACTCACTCTGCATACATAGTCATAGAAGCATTTCACACTCAGCAACTTGAGTTTTTGTTCAACTCAACTTTGCACTTTAGTTTTAAGCTTCTTGTGGTGGAAATTACTATTCTTGTAATTAGCCCAGTCATAAGTGACATTTAAAAATCTCAATCTTGGTTTCTTTCTCTTTCAAAAGGAGCTTAAAAATCTTTTTTTCTAGCAGCGTGAGAGCTCTCTTGAACTTATCAACCTGCATTTTCTTTCTTTAGCAGAAAACATGGAAAGTTGTGTTCAGTCATTGTTTAAGGTGTCGTGCATATAGAGAAGCCTTAATTTGATAGTAGTTCAGAAATTAGAAAAACATATTTTTGGAAGCCATAATATTTTTGAACAGCTTACTCCTCTAAGTTTTGCATTTCAAATAATAAATCTTTAAATTAATATTTATTGAGCCCCTGTTATATGTTAGGGTTTTCATATATAATAAATCTATTATTAGTTTTGCCTTTTTTACATTCCTCATACTTGTATATTTGTTTCTGTTAAATACTGGGTTAGAAAACAGTCACCATCTATATATTTGTAGGACGAAGATATCAGTCCTTTAGTTACATAGGTTTTGAAAGTGAGAATGGATTATCTATACTGCTATGTAATCAGTAGATAGGGATTTATCTGAAAATAGTTTTATAGAATTTTAGCTAATAAAAATACCCAATTTAAGACCACATAGACATGTCATTGAAGAAATTCTATTCCTTCTGGGTTTTGGCTGTAACAGAAGATATCAAAAGGACCCCTGCAGGAAGACCAAAAATTAATATTAGCACAAGAACTAAATTTGAGAAGAGGTGGAATAACTTAAAGAAACACACAAAAGAACGCTGAAAACAAAATAATTGTGACAGAGAGGTTTTTTGATTGGTTAGAAAAGCAGTTGAGTTTTTTTCTTATAAAAGTTTTTTTTGTTGTTTTTTTATTGGAACAAACCAACTTTAAAAGGACTTTTTTAGATAATCAAAGAAAACGAAATAAGTACTGAATGTGAGATGAATTAAGGAATTGTTAATTGGTTAGGTATGATAATTTTATTGTGGTTATATTAGAAAATACTCTTCTATTTAGATATACTTAAGGAAATATTTAGATGTCAAGTGACATAATGTCAGGGATTCACTTTAAAATATTACTGCCAAAAAAAAGAAACGCAGTATATGTAAGAAAATATTGGGAGGTTGAATCTGAGAATAGATATATGGGATTATTATGGCTATTGTATTTTGGAACACATTTGAAGCTTTCATAAGTTTTAAAAAAGAAAGGCAGTACATGCTATTGCAGAAGATATAGGCAGTACAAAATGGTATATAGAAGTGAAAATATTCAGCAATAGCTACAATTCATATTTTGATGTTTATCCTTGACATATGTGATATATGTGGTATATGTGTATTAATTCTCTTTAGTTCCATCTGTTATAGTATAAACCTGGAAGAAATGAAACATATTTGTATATCCTATGGATTATGTACAATAGCATTATGTAATATTTGTTTTTATAAAAATGAGATAATACTACATATGCATTTTTCACTTACATTTATCATGGATATCTTTGCACATTAAAGAAATAGATTCACATTATCATCTTAAAGGCTCTATTGTGTTATATGGGTATATCATAATTTATTTAACCAATCTCCTATTGATGAACATTTATTTCCATTTTTTTCACTACTAAAAATATTTTTGCAACAAGCATCTTTTTATGTTTATCTGATGATTTGTTTAGGATAAATTTTTTCATAGTAAAACTATTGGGTCAAAAGAGTATATATATATTTAAAATGTCAATATATATTGTCAACTTGCTTTCTAGAAATGTACCAATTTTCACTCCCACTATTTAATAAGGAGGGATTTAATAAGGAGAAATATGCCACACTCCCCAATTTGACCATTTGGGGGACAATTCCTCTGGCTTTATGTTCTTTATATTTGGTCTAATATTTGAAAGTAAAGAGATAGGAAAAACTAGAGATAAAAATATAGATAGCCAAATAACATTTTTATATTTTAGTGTCTCACACTGTAGTATAGACTACAAAGTGGAGTATGGGGTTATTATAAAATATTTCCTTATAATTTCTTACCAGTCATAACCTAGCTTAACTGCCTCCACCCAAGTGCCATTATTACCTAAAGAATATCCAGATGTAGGTAAGACCCAAAAAAATCTACATAATTAAATTATATTTTAAAAGAAATGTAATTTTTTTATTTTCAGATTGCCTGGACTTTTAGGGCCTCTTCAGGTTACATTAGGAGATGTTTACACACAACTTAAAAATCTCATCCGAACTTTCAGGTCGGTATAAATATTATGATTTTCCTTCTCAGTTATTTTGACTTTAATGTGGTTCTCTTGTAGAATCCAGTGGTAAACTAAGGCATGAAGAAAGTGAGTGACTTTCAGTGTCTTAGATCTAAATACAGTTGTATTTTCTCCTCCACTAAACATTACTTTTTTGTTAAATGCAGTCCCTTATTTGCTCAAACCTTGATATTTAGCTTTGAATAGTTAAATTATAGAACAGCCTAAAACTAAGAAGGAAAATGATATTGAGACACAAAAGTGGTTAGCAAGCAATATCTTGGATCTTAGTGAATTAGTAAATATGTATCAGATGACCAGCACTGTGCTAGGTACTGTGGGCAATACAAAAGAAGCATTATGGCCAACCTTAAGGAAGAACTCTCCTGTGAGAGGGTAAGGTGATCACAGTGAACAGTACAGAACAGTGGGTAATTTAATATGGAATTGTTTGCAACAGATTTAAAGTGATAAGTACAAAGAAAGGAAGAATAGAAAATACCATTTGTGGAGCAGTTGATGTAAAAGTATTCAGCCAGGCTAGGATGCTAGATTCTCTACGAAGAAGCATAGGAATGAGCCTCTAAATACTTATTAATAGAGGTGTACCAAATACACATTTGGCCAAATGCCAGTGACCAATACTAAAATTAATATTTGTCATTGGCTAAAGCCAGATAGCACCAACATAGAATAAACTAGGATAGAAGAACCATTTCATCCAAAAAGTTAATTATCATGATGGTTTATTATTATCAATAGTAGTAGTAAGGTTTTAAACGTTTAAAATTATAGTACAGAAACAATTTCTTGGCACTGTCAGCTGTTAGATTTCTCTTGCAGTCACTGTACTGTATATCGGTAATACCAAATAGACATTGTCTTTCAGCTAGCACATTAAAAAACATCACTAACCTTTTCGTGTGCCAGAGCAGTTCAGGAAAACATTTTTTCAATATGGTATTTACTTGAAGGAACTAGGATTCATAGTTTAAGCAAATCTCAAAATTCTTCATCTTCAGATACTGAAAAGGATCACGTGTAACACTTTACATTTAGATATTTATCCTTCATAGACTCAAGATATAGGAGTTGTCTTAAGCCATGTTTGTAGTCTTTGTTGTGAAGTTTGACTAAACAAAATGTATGGGGTACCTCAATTTCCTCTAACAGTTTTGACTTAACATTTTTTATTTTGATTAGAGATTTGGATTATCGCATATCTGTTGTTTACATAATTGTGATGTTTTTCCAACTCATGATATTTTGAAGTGACTTTTTTAAATTCATCATCATAAGATGTGAAGAATTCCCCAATAGAGCTTTTTCTTGAAAGACCTATGACTTAAATGGAAGTAATTAAAATTTAAATACAGTTCTCAAAAGTTATTTTTTAATGTTATAAATGCTAGTACATAATACAGTTCTGTAAAGATCGAATTATGATAAAATCTAATCATTCTCTTACATTATTTAAATTTTTATAAACTAGTTTTTCTAAGATATATTTTTGAGAAAGTATTCTATTTAATATTCAATAGTATTAACTGTCAATCTTTTCCTAAATAATGAAAATTTTTACTCTGTTTTATACATAAAATTATGTTTTCATAAACATTAATTACTGCAGCATATTTTTCTGTTGGCTGATAAACATATAAGGACATTTTTCAATATTTCATCTAAATGTTTATATTTGAAAGTGAATGTTCAGGTAATAACAGTAAATCTGAATGACATGATTGTACTAATTACTGAGATTGTTACATTCACTAGATATCATGGAAGCTGTGCAATCACAAGATCATTTATCACATATAAGTTTAAGAATGCCAGAAATGATTATCAGACTGGCCTATGCTTTTAGAAGACTGAGTAAATGCTTTGCCAAAAAGAGAGTTTTGTGTCAAATACCAAGACCAAAGTTGAATTTCTCTGCGTCTCAATTAGTGATGAAGAGAGAGAACTTGATTTTTTAGATGCTCTCTCTTCCACTAATCCCAGAACCATACATTCAAAAGAAAAAAAAAAGATACTTTTCAACTGTCTACATTAATGAAAAAGTTTGAATAGATATATACAGTGTGGAAGCACTGAAGTTTAGGATTTGTTCAGGATTTTTCAGGATGTGAATATCATATTAACAGAAAAGTTAGCTGAGGAAAGATGAAGACCAGGTGCTCCCCTGTTTCACTGATTTTTAAAGAGCTTCCCATATAGTTCCTTGCCAACAAGAAAGTCACTGAAGATTTATCAGAATAGATATTAGAATAAGCCTTTGGTTCTTGAACTACAAATATGAATTTTGTACTTCAGATTTTGCTCTACTCATTTAGAATAGATTAACAAGTAATTTAATCTACTTCGACTGTATTTTCTAGAACTGTTTTTCTATGGATCTAATTGCATATCTTCTATTTTTAAAAAAATTACTCTGAGGTTCTCAGAACTTACTAGAAGCCCATTGGAAAGATGTTAGGCTACAGCTGCAAGATTGCCCCATTATTACTTTCATATGCCCTCGGAATTAAGGTACTTCAGGTTGGAAATCACCGTCCAGGCTGTTGTTTTTGGTCTTTTGCTATTGTTTGGTCATTAATTACTGTGTGCCAGGTGGTAATTTACATATATTATTTAATGTGCAGAAAATAGTGTTATCCTCATTTTACAGATAAGATGAGAGATTAATCTCTCTTAAATCACACAACGAGTAGTTGGGTTTAGACCACCAAGTTTAAGTCAAGAGGATAGGTCTTAAGTGTTCTCTCCATAAAAAAAAGAAAAGAAAAGAAAGAAAATGATAACTATATGGTGAGGTGGTGGATATGTTAATTAGCTTGGCCGTAGTGATCATTTCACAATATATACATATATCAAAATATCAAGTTGTACACTTTAAGTATATATAATTACTATGTGTCAATTATACCTTAGTAAAACAAACAAACAAAAAATAGAAATCTACCATTTGTTGTCTTGGTAGTCATTAGTATCAGAAATGTAAAAAAAAAAAAAAAAATGTCATTTCATTTATCACTTCTCTAGGCCCCAAGAAAGAACTGTACTGAAGACGGTTCTGTTACCTATGAAACAAAGCCTCTGTGACACCTGTACTAGCCAAGACAGTAGTCACAGTGTTTATCAGTCCTTTAAGAGGTAGCTAACAGACTACAGATATGAGGAGACTCAGATGTCATTTTCCTTTTGTAAACTATTATTTTATCACCTTTTTCTGTCATTCCTGTTGTGTAAGTTTTTTCCAGTTTCTGCATTATTTACATTAAAATAAAGCCTAGAAAAAACGATATGTCTGGGATTTCAAAATTATCCAGGTTAACCCCAAAGTTATGCATTATTTTAGTGTAGGAGATGTTATAAAAACCATGATGTTAATTTATTTTTGAAATCTTTACTACCTACAGGTCAAAGTCTATAACTTTAATAAAAATTGCTTAAATTGACTTTGCTGCTTTTTAGGGAAATGTCAGTTACTTAAAATACAGAATGACCTCTGGTAAGATAACTCATTGGGGGATCTTCAGATTCTGGCAGGACAACTTCAGTAACTATGTGACGTTGTAGGCTAGAGCTTCTAAGTGAAGTCTGAAAAAATGCCATAGTGATGACTGACTAGTATTGAGAGATCTTTTCAGTCAATACTAGCAGTGGAAAAGAGTTGACATAAATAACCATATCCTTCTCTTTGAAATGATAATCAATAATAGGAACTTGTAGAACAGTGATTCTCAAGCCAGTTGTGCATCAGAATTACCCGGGGAGCTTTTAACAACTACAGATGCCTGACTCCACCCCTAGAGATTGAGTTTCATTTGGTTAGGGTTGGGCTCAGACATTAGTATTTTTTAAAAGCCCCCCAGGTGATTCTTATGTGCAGCCAGAGTTGAAAGCCTGTTAGCCTGTTAGAACTTAAACAGAAAGCAGCTTTTTCAGCTCTTTGTAGAATCTTTCCCCAGTGAATAGAGCTGTCTTTTCCACTGAATTGCATCACAGTCATTTATCTGGAATGTTACATTGATTTACCTGTCATAGTGGTTCCATCAGAAGTTGCTTGATAATGATTCACTGTCCTCATTGTTTAATCAAGATACTTTTCTAAATCTGGTTTGAATGAAAATTATATCTTGACACAAAAGTCCTTTTTTTCTTTCCTTTTTTTTTTTTTTAGGTGAGGCAACCCTAGGTTGACCTCACAGATTGCAAGGACCCTGTCAGTTTACAATCCCTTATTTTTTTATTTTTTAGCCTACAGCACCTGGTCTTCCTAGGTGGTCTCCCATCCAAGTACAAACCAGGCCCAACCCTGCTTAGCTTCCGAGATCAGACAGGATTTGGGCTTGTTCAGGATGGCATGGCCATAGACACAAAAGTCCTTTTTAAATTTCATCAGTGATGAATCAAGGCATTTTTCTTAATCTGTATTGAATTTCAAATTATATTTTGAAACTCTTTTAAATGTTTTCTATCAAATATTTGTTTTCATTTTTGAATTATCACTCAGACAATAGTAAATATATTCATTTAGCCTCTGTGCTTGAAATTATTTTGACTCAGCAAAAGGAAAACTATAAGAACATGTAATATTTTTCTGGTCTGCCACTAGAAGTACTTTGAAGTGAAAACAAAGACCTTGTCATGTTTTTCCAGTGCCTAAAATAGTGATATAGATAGAGCAGGAACATAATACATTTTTGCTGAATGAGTAAATGAAGTCATGAAATCTTAAATTTATGTTAACTTTGGAGGATTTGAATAAAATAGAGAAAGAAATTCTACTTAAATACATTTAAGAAATTCTACATAAATACATTTTTTTCTTGCTTATCCTTCTTTGACCTTTTTTGGTTATATGCTAGATTCTGTTTTAGTTGCTATGAACAAAGCAGTGAACAAAACAGACAAAATTCCTTCTCTTACAGAACTATACTAATGGAGAAGATATGTAAAATCTTAAAAACAATATATACATTACGATTGGTAGTGATATGCCCTTTCCCAGGTCACTCTCCTTCTTTTCTCCCATAAGAAGGAAGGGGGATGGTACTGAGGAGGGAGGAAGTTGTGATTTTAAATAGGCTGGTCAGGGACAACTTAATTGAGAAGATGCCATGTGTATAAAGATCTAAAAGTTGGTAAGGGAGCAAGCTATCTTGCTATCTGTGAAAACATATCAGGGAACAGCAGGTGCAAAGACTCTGGAGTCAGAGTAGGCCTGATGTGTTCACAGAACATAAAGGATGTTGGTGAGGCTGGAGAAATGAGCAGAGGCAAGGGTTCAAAGAGATACAGTCAGAAAGGTATAGGTTAGGGAGTGGGCATGGTATAGATTATATAGGTCTGTAGCCATGTTTCTTCTTGGACTTCTACTCTGAGATGGAGAGCACTTGGTAGATTCTGAACAGAGGAATGACATGATCTGACATACATTTTTAACAGCATTACTCTAAGTGATGATTTGAGAATTACAGTAAATAGGCAGAGGCAAGAAGACCTTTTAGGATGCTGTTTTAGTAATCTAAGCAAGAAATGATGTGGACCAAATGATGTGAAAGCAATGGAGGTCATAAATAATCAGATTCTCTTTTGAAGGTAGAACCATCAAGGTTTGATTACTGGTTGGACATAGGATATGAAGAGAATCGAGGTTAACCATAAGATTTTTGGTCTGAGCCACTGGATTCTGGAAGGATTGGATAGTCATTTACTGAGATGGGTCTGTCTGCAGGAGGAGCAGTTTGTGTGGGAAAGATGCTCAGTTTTCGCTGTACCAAGTTTTGAGATGCCTATTATACATTCAAGTGGAAATGTAAAGTAGACCATTAGATATAGAAGTCTGGAATTCAAGGAAGAGGTCCAGACTAGAGAAAATAAATTCAAGAATTGTTAGCCTATAGTTATCTAATATTTAAAGCTATGAGATTGGATGACATTTCCAAGGGAATGAGCATATATAGAGAGAGGGGATGAGAGACCAAAGGGCAGTGTACCTGGAACAATCCAAATTTAAAGGTCTGAAAAGGAGTGCCAGTGAGAGGGAGGGAAATCAGGCAAGTGGAAACCAGGTGAAGAAAGTGTTCCAAGGAGAATGAAGTGATCACTTGTGTCAAATATTGCTGATGGATTAAGGTGAGGACTGAGAACTGTCCATTGAATTTGACAACTTGGACGTCTTTTAAACATTGAGTCCTCACAAGAACCCTATGAGGTAGGTAGTACTATTGTTCCTGTTTTACTAAATTAAAAAAAAAGTTTTACAGCCATTGAATGTGTCCAAGGTAAAACACTACTAAGTGACATATCTGTGTATTGAACCCATGTCTGTCAAACTTTTTAACCACTATATCGTACTTTTTATATCTTCCAGACTTTTTAAAAATTTTTACTATGGAAAAAATTCATATTAACAAAGATACTTTTTAACCACTATATCGTACTTTTTATATCTTCCAGACTTTTTAAAAATTTTTACTATGGAAAAAATTCGTATTAACAAAGATACACATATTCTCCACTCAGAATTAATACATTTTAATATTCTGTAGTATTTGATTCAGATGTACATTTTTAAGTTAATTCATTTGTTTAATAAAGTAATTGAACGCCTACTGACAGGCACTTGTTCTGGGTACTTAGAATAAATAGGTAAAGAACATAAAGATTCCTACCTTCAGGGAAAACAGACATTAAACAATAATTATGTTAGAAAGTGATAAATGGTACAGGAAAAAAGAAAAATATAGAGAGGGTAGGTAAGGAAGTCAGAAATTTGGGGCTGGAAGGTGGAGAGAGAGTTTCACTTTTTAATAGGGTGGTCCAGATGGGCCTGAA